ATTTTATATTAAGTTGAATTCTTATTAATGGATAAAATTGAGACCCTAAATATTCAAACAGATCAATGCTTTATGACTGCTATTTAGTCAATAAGGACGAATTCCTTATAAACCATCAAACAGCCAGTTTGGTGCCTCATTGCAAGCATAGCATTTGCACAACCAAACAGGCATTCAATTGCCCAACTTGATACGATTCTCTCCGGAACTTCAGAACAGGGAAGGTGCTCACTGCTCGTCTAATTCCGTTTGATACGATGAAAAAAAAAGGATAGAAAGTTAAGAGATAAATAAAATATCATGTTTGATAAAAAAAGAAAATAAGAAAAATGGAAAAATAGATGAATTAACTTTCCTTCCAACTCACCAAAATTAATCCCTCCAAAATCGAAAAGAAAGTGAATGAAAAATTAATTCTTTGTGTTGAGATGTGTTTTATTTGTCTATATAGCATTTGATATATATATATACACAATGATAAACTATGTATGCATATATATTTTTTAAAAATTTTAAAATAAATTTAACAATAAAAAAAAATTTAAATAATTAAAAAAACATTTTTTTTCATCTTAGTTAGGGGTGAAAATTTTAGACTCAATAAGATGACACGATTCGAACTCGACATAAATTTTATGACACAAACTTGATTATATCTCGACACGAACATGAAAATGACCTGACCGCGCAGATTTAAATGACCTCAACATGAATTTGAACACAATTTGATTGTCACCCCTAAACTTAGCCAGCACAAAAAAAAAATTAGTTATTTTTATTTTTCATCCATTCAATCGAACACAAAGGAAGAAAAGTGTATCATTTCTACTTTCCTTCTTTAAAAAATTGAACGTGTATCTCTCATACTTTATCTTATTTCTACTTTCCATACGTCATACCAAACGGAGCATAACTGTTCGAGGGAACCGGCTGACAATAAATACTGATTCACCTTTAGCTTCTCCAGACTCAAACACAGTGGTGGAGCCAGAAATTCTGTCTAGAATAGATATTTTATTCATAAATTTTAATTTTTTTAATCAATAAAAATAAAATAATATATTTAAATTTACGACATTATATTTAATACCTAAAGATTCATAAAAATAAAACTGATCAAATATCGATAAATATAACGTACACAAATACAAAAATAAAAAAATAACTAATTACAACCCTTTGTAACAAATGAGACTAACTGCATAAAAGATACCATAGTCTTTTTTTATATAACCAATCAAGATATTTGTCGTTGATCACTTGTTAAGTTATTTAACTTAGTTTTTATAATATCTATAACTCTAAAAAATTGAGTCTGATATGTCAAATATTTATCTAAACGTATCCATAAAGTATTCAAAGTACGTCAAAAAATTTATAGAGCGAAGGTACATAACTATAATTATAATAATTTACATATATATAACTGATATTTTTAAAAAAAAAAATCAGGGTGGGCCCATTTCCCCCTAGTCCTCATCTGGCTTCGCCACGGAAGCAATTCTTTTGGTTTACAATCTCCATAATAATATTTGTTTTAACTAATAATAATATTAATTTATTAGTTTTTACACGTTAAATAATAATCTATTCCAAAAATTTAACTCGGGGCGGAGTCACATTGGGACTAGGTTGGGAACTTGGCCCTCCTCACTTTTGAACTATCTTTGATGGGGACCCACAAAATTATTTAACACACTATGTTTGCCCTCCTAATTTTTTAAAACATTTTATAATGGTTTTGGTCTTCCTTTTTTTTTTTTTAATAAATTAGTAGTTCACTAACCCTCTAAAATAAATATTTTATTATTAGATTAAGTAAATCAGATATAATCATCCTAATCTATTTGTATATTGATCAAAAGACACTACTTCTCTTAATCTAACACAATTTTCATTACATTTTAAGAATAATTTTTTTTTTTTTTTTATAAAGTAGTTTATAACATAATAAAACACAATTGGATACAAGAAACAAAATATTATAACTCAAAAATATTTTCAAGTTATTGTGAATATGTAATTTCTATAGAAAATCTATAATAATTTTAACTAGTTTTCGCAATTAAATGAAAAGTGATTTTCCTATGGACTTATAATTGTGCAAGTTGATAGGAAATTAGTGAGAAATTAATTTACACTTAATTAATATATAAAAACTTAGAGATTTTAAAGAATTTTGTATTTTATTGAAATATATAATTGAATTAAAATGTACTAAAAAAATTATTTTGTGTATTTTTGTTCAGATTTTAGTTCAGCTAAATAAAAATTAAATTTATTATTTCATAATAATTTTGTTTTGAGTCTTAATTTTTCTCATTCTACAACTTTGTTTTTTTGATATCAACTAATAAATTATTTTCAATTGTATTCTGCCCTCCTCTTAGATATTCTTAGCTCCACCCTGATTTAAATTGTTAGAGAATATAACTTTAGTATTTATATTTCAACACGCTCCTTCACGTGCAGGCCTGACTCTGCCCTTGATTTAAACTGTTAGAGATTGTAACTTTAGTATTTATATTTTATCGCGTCCCATCATGTACAAACTAGATTTATACTTAGCACGTGAAAATTTTTTAATAGTTAAGGTCATGAGGAGACTCGTTACCTACCTAAACCAATGAGAGTAATTTTAGCATTCATACTCCATCGGAACATTCATTACCTACCTAAACCCATGAGAGTAATGGACCACACAAATCTTCCAAAATTTCAATTATAAAATGTGGATGCATTTAACTTAATGTTCTAAGAATTAGCATGGAAGAGAGTCGAACGGGAGATCCATTCATCAGATCCAAACAAATCAAACACCTCCTGTGAACAGGTCTAAACAAGTCAAGCCTCAGAACCGACACAAAAATATTATTGTGGCAATTGAAGCCAACACGATGAATGTCGAAGCATTTTGAATGGGATTCATCTCGCGTGCACATTTAAACAAAACTTCACTCAAATTGTGCTTTAACAAAATTTCGCAACAAGAGGAACGTATATTGACAGGCTCGGCCCATATCTAGTTTAGAATTCTAGATCAGATTCATCTAAAAAATACAAGTCAACAAGGACCAAGTCCATTGCCTTAGAAAACTTAGTCTACTAGTATGCATGTTAGATCTACATCTTAGGAAGGGAATCATGGTACGCATCGCAAGCCTTAACCACCTCGTCCGTTATGCCAACATTACAGAATCACCTCCTCCTGTCACAGGGTGACGCTTTAATTAGGGCTCCCCGCGATGGCACCTCAATCAAAGCCCGTTTTGGGGTGTTATGAAGATTGTACTCCCCTATAAACTATAAGTACCACCTACATATGAGGGGTATGACACACATCTCACACACTACATTTCTTGAATAATAAGAATCTCCGGCCACCATAGCAATTCCTAATGAAGTAGGTTATTTAGATCGTACCACCTAATTTCTGTGTTTGCTTGTGTTGAGCCCTCTACACTTCATTCTTTGATTGATTTTTACATAAATCCTTTTGTGCAACATTAGTTTGGCGTTGTTTGTGAGAACAATTTAGTTTTGCACCCTACTATATTCTCTCTTCTTATGACCATTACAACTAGATCCATGAATCAACAAACAGAAGATGATAAACAACACTAGGAGGAGGTCCTGCCCCCGCCAGCAAATCTTGTTTCTGAACCACATCAAAAGTTGTTGTAAACTATGCAGTTGTTGGTGAAACAAAACCAGCAAATCCTCTAACTTCACATAGAAAGGGAAACACTCCAAGCACCTCGTCTAGGGAGCAAGTGCGCCCCCAGTGCCAAGGCATATCAATTCCCTCTCCTTGCGAGCTAGCTTCGTCCTCCCACATTGGTGACCTTCCTTTCTAAGAAGATGAAAGGAAAAACTAGTATGTGGACTACGAGAGTCACTGCAATGCCCATTCGAAAGGCGTCTCCAAGAACTAGGACAAAAAAAATCAAAAAAATGTAGAACCAACTCGGCAACATCTTCAACACCATGAAGACGCGAGGGCCTGAAACGGTCGAGTACCTAGTGAGGCATACTAACACACAATATTTTGTTGATGTGGCTAACTATCCTGTCCCCCCAAAGTTTAAGATGCCAACCATGGATGCTTTTGATGGCTACAAAGATTTACTAGACTACCTTGACACCTAAAAATCCCTAATTCAACTCTACAACATATTAGACAAGATCATGTGCAAGGCTTTCCCTCCAGTGCTTCGTCAAGCTTACCTCGATTTACGTTAAATCTTTTGTTGAATTAAGCAAATCCTCCGTCTCACACTTCATTAAGGAACGCCTGCCACGCACTAGCTTAACATCAAGTAGGATCAATATGAAAGTCTAAGGAGTTATCTCACTAGTTTTAACGATGAGGTTTTCCAGATTGAAGAGCTCGGTGACAAATTCACCATGATTGCCTTTACATAAGGTCTGTGCTCATCCAGTCTTATGTATTCAGTTTTGAAGCACCCACCAAAGAACATTCTAGAATTATTATCAAAGCCTAGAAACATGTGAATGTTGAGGATGTCGCCAAAGCTACGTAAGCTAATTCCTCACGTAGAAAGGAATAACAATCTTGACAATTTTAGCATCTGATGGTATTGAAAATAGTATTCACCTTGAGAACTATGATTTCATCTACTTAGGATAAAGGTTGTCCTTTCCCACGAATGGAACATGGCATGTGAAAATTCTACTTCTTCTTCACATATTTGTAGTTGAAATTCAAAATAGTGGACAATAAGATTTTTTTTAAGGGGAATTCGGTGCCCAAACTACTGTAGGCCATTTAATTCTGGTAGATCTCAAAAAAATACCTACATTCAAAAAAAAATTATCCTTAAACAAACAACCGAGTACAAAGTTATGGTCGTTCAAAATTTTACCACTCCTTTATGCTTTTCTAATACTCCACTCGCACCCAAAGCCAACCACATGCGCCTAGTGCATAATGCTAACGCCCAGCCAACGCCCAGCGTCATGGCGCTCAATGCCAACAACTAGCGCCCAATGTCGCCCACGCCAGCGCTCAAGGCACCCAACGTTGCGAAATGCCCTGTGCGCATTGGCGCTTGCCTCCTTGCCCACCTTGGTGCACCGTCTGTCTTGTCATACTGCCCGCCTTGGCACCTCCCGCATCGCGTGCCAAGCTCATTCAGTAGTGTGTCTGGTGTCACCCTTCTTGGAGCATCAACATAAGCAACCTCAGTTTTCAGCTTAGCAGTTCTCTCGCGAGTGGCCAGAAGCTCGACCTAACTTTGTTTCTGCTCACACGTAAACAATCTCAGTTTGCATAGTGGCTTTCTCGTGAGTCGCCAAAAGCTCAACCTAACTCTGTCTCTATTCTCATGCAAACAATCTCAGTCTCCAGCTTAGCGACTTTCTCGCGAGTCGCCAGAAGCTTGGTTTAACTCTACCTTTACTCTCGTGCAAGCTGCCTTAGTCTCTAGAAACTAGGCCTTAAGAGGTGTAACTTTCTCGTGAGCCACCCACAACTCTTCCTTTACAGCATGTCATGTCTACCTCTCCCCCTATTAGAGTTCACTTCCTAAAAGAGGGTAAGGAAAAGTTTGGCCCTCTCCCCCAAATTCCATTAGACTATGGGCATGGGAGCAAATGACGGACTCGACCCAGGCCTGACCTAGAATTACAGACCAGGCTCAACTCAGAAACACAAGCCAAAAAGGACCATGCCCATCGCTTTGAAAAACCCATTCTACTAGTGACGCACGTTAGATTTCCGTCTTAGGAAGAGAATCATGGTACGCATCTCAAGCCTAACCCACCTCGACCATTATGCCAACATCATGAAGCCACCCACTCCCGTCACAAGGGTAACACCTTAATTAAGGCTCCTTGCGATGACGTCTCCATCAAATTCTGCTCTGGGGCATCATGAAGACTGTACTTTCCTATAAATTATAAGCCCCACCTACACATGGAAAGCATGACATGCATCTCAACACATTACATCTCTTAAGTAATTAGAATCTTCGGTCATCGTAGCCATTCCCAGTGAAGTAGGTCACCCAAACCAAACCACCTAATTTTTGTGTTTACTTGTGTTAAGCCCTCTACACTTCACTCTTGATTGATGTTTGTATAAAAACTTTTATGCATCATCATAAACCATAAACGCCCAATTTTTTTTTTGATATTCTAGTTATCCCAATAGATCACTGTAGTACTACTGCTCACATACTAGACTAATATTGAACTTTATATAAAGCCATCTCTCCAATGCTAGCTCTTATGCAAAGTCATCTCTCCAATGCTGGATCTTGTATGAAGTCACCTCTCCACACACAGTGGTAAATCTAAGGGCAGTGACTCCAAGGAACTATGCTTTGTGAGATAATCGAACCCCTAATCTACCTTTTATGACAGATTTATTAGATGACTAAATAATTACTAAGCTAATGCATTGGGATTCACCATACACCCAATATTACTCATGTTAGTAGTATGTTCTAGGACCAATGACATAGATGATGTTTTGTGGTTGTACTTGCAACATTCATTACTTAATTAAATCAAAGGAAAAACTTATTTATCATAGTTCTGCTTTATTTCATTTTAATATGCATGATATAGTTCATAGAATATAAATTAAGAAGATATTTTTTCAAGGAGTTGAGAAGAAGAGATCTATACTTCTTAGCACTTAACTCTTAAATGTTTCTAGTCATAGGATTACTATGTGGGCACTATGTAATCCAGATAAACTAACATACACTATGTTTACTCATATTTGATATGAGGTGACTCGTCTAAGTCATTAGTATAGAAACATGGAAGCAAGTGCGTGAGTGCTTGTTAGAGAACAAGTACATTAGACGTGACCATTGACTAGCGTAAAATTTTTCATATGGAGTTTTACATATATATCAATGTTAAATCTTAAAGTTATAGTTATGCAACTGATCTTTAAACTTGAGACACCATAATTGTCTTGTACATAGACTTCTATGCTTTAACTATACAAAATATTCATATAGTAACCCTCTAACTTGGATATGTATTGTTGGACATAGTTAGACATGCATGGATACTTACGAGTGTACAACATGATATCTATCACCTTTAGTAAATAAAAGGAGAATGTCATATGTGATCTTTTGGGATATGACTCAAGGAGTCCTTGGCCAAGACATAGTGACAATTAGAAAAAAGTTTCTAATTGATTATTAAGAGTTATAGTTCTAAGATCGAACAAATAAGATTGAATTAGGGGTTTGAAAATAATTATGTACCCTAGTAATTTAATTGGGGTATTGTGTGATAGAAGAATTGAATTACATAACAACTATAGACTAAATGAGTTCTTCGTGCTATTCGGAGGTTGATCATGATATGTTGTTAGGTGCCACTCATGATTACTGGAAGTCCAAAAAATAAAATTAATAAAATTATATTAATTTTTCTTCTTAAAAGGAGAATTATAACAGTTCTAATTTAAGATGCTACTTGTTGTTAGTATTAAATGCCTACAATCGAGTATGCTTAAACCTATAGGGTCACACACAATAGAATTGATTGAAAATTAAAGGATAAATGATAGAAAATCAATTAAGAGTTAATTGGGGGTGAAAACTTAATTAAGAATTAATTAGGGACTTCATTATAATTAATGGTTAATAACGGGATTATATGTAATTATGAGATAGTTGCAACTTACCAACGGACCTTTAGTCCAATGGTACTCCTTACCTTGTCAAGAATTTGCCTTCTTGAGGTCAAGGGTTCAAGTCCCCCCTCCCTCCCCAAAAAAAAAAGATAGTTGCAACTTGACCCAAACTAGGATTAGAGTCTTTAAAACTATAAATACCTTCATGTAGTAGGTGGATAAAAAATATAAAAACTTTCTTGGTAGCATAAGAAGAACCACCCCTCATTCTCTTTCTCTTGATTGGTTTATCAAATGTTGAGGTAGATCTTTCAAGTTTATCAATTTCTATGAATACCGATAGAGGCAAAACAATTGTGAAATTTGAGTTAAAGATCAAATTCAGATTTGAAGGTTCAAAGTTTTTTGAGAAAAATTGAAGATCGTTCAAAGCACGTTTTAAGAGGTAAACCTTAATCTTCACTATATATATGAGGTTTCTCGATTTGTATTAAACATAGATCTTGGTATGAAGAATCAATTATTATTTTTTTTTAAAAATTTCGCTGAGTTTATTATATGATTCCTTTCAACTCATGGCTTAAGTTAATCAATATTCCAGGTCTCTTTACCAACCCTCAATCTTATCAAACCTAATAAAACTCAACCATAATCCAATCAATAAGAAAAGTTCGAGAAAAACTTGTTATTTATTTTCATGGCTAATTAAAACACATCATTAATTTCTCCATGAAAGGTACCTAAATTTCATGTTAATTTTGGGTTTTCCACCAATTGCACCGTTTATCATATAGAATTCAATCTAAACATATAAACATAGATATTACATTTGACATGCTTGAAGCTAGTTCAACAAAGTAGCTTTTAAAAGTTTTGGAGTAAAAAAGTCAGGTCCGTTTGAATTTTTTTATCGATTTATGCAACATTTTTTTGGACCCTAAAAATTTTATTTGGGTAGATTCAAAAAACTGATTTTATGAGCTTTTCTTTCAATTTTTTGGAGTTTTGTCGCAGATCCAACATAAAATTTTGGTTTATTATATTCATAAAATATTATTAGTGAAGCAAAAAAATATGAAATTTATATTTTGAGAACTATTATACATAATCTATACATACATGTAATTATTTTTTATTTTCACACAAACAAGTCAAAAAATTTAAAAAGTCACTCAAAATAGACTTTTTCAACTTTTTTAGATTTTTAAAGAACACCCTAAATAATTTTGGAGAACTTTTTTAAATTTGATTTTGTTACGAAATTTTTAAAACCACAACTTTTTACCTAAAAACACTAAGGGCTTTTGAAGGCCAGTTCACAGTTGTGGACTTTTGGGTCTATAAGGACAAGCGTATTCTTTTTTGAAGCTTAAAAGACAATTAAAGGCATAAAGACTAATTTACATTTAATAACATAAATAGTTATAATACAAAACAGACAGTAATAGCAAGACAGTAACAGTAACATCAATACAGTAATAGTTACACAATAACAGTAATAATCATTGTCACAGTAACACGATCACAGTAATATCAATGCCCTTGTGAGTAGGGTGTAAGGGGCGATGGTTGGGAATAGAAGTGCTATGGAAGATGGCAAGATTATAGCATAGAGTAGTGGTGGACTAGATAGCAACACAATTACAATAATAGTCATAGTCACTATCAAAATTCTATGAAACTAGAAGTGATGTAAACTAACAACCACACAATTACAGTAACAACCACAGTCACTGTCAAAATTTTATAGATCTAGACAGTTACATGATTACGAAAAATCAAAAGGAACAAATTAGCATTGGAATTGAAATCCATGGCATCTAAGCGGATCATTCGTTACATTCGTCTCCCTACTAATGAAGACGATGGTTATGATGGTAGTGGTGGAAGATGATACAACCCTAGATTTGATTATACACCAATATCCCTGAATAAAGTCTCCTGGAAATCCATGCGCTTGCAATTTTCCTACTCTTTATCGAATGTTTCTTCTTCTCCTTTTGATATTCATCTTCACAGTTCACATGGAAGGAGACCAGTCACAAGCCCGAGAAGAAAAGAGATGATAGACCTAGTTCTTTTTCCAAACAAACTCTTTAAAATATAATAAGGACAGTTCTATCATTAAAATAAAATTTCAACATAAGTTTGGACTTAACAACTCAATTGTAAGCGGTTGTCCTTTAGCCCTTGGAAGAGTTGCGACTGGATCTATTGACAAAATAGATCTCCGTATTATACTTGGTTCCAATTTTCACAAAAACGAATTCCAAACAGCCCGTTAACCTATCAAAATACAAATATTTCACACACGTGTGTAAGTAGAGGCATATTTGATGGGAAAGAGGGGCTACTAGAACAGAGTTCTGTTGGTTTTTTTTTTTATGGAGTCTAGTTTGTATATGTGATTCGGATGATGATCCGACCCGAAGTAATGTTGTGTGGTTTTTTAATGAAAAATTTTATGAGGCTTAGTCTATGGAGCGAAGGCTTGGGCCGATAGGTCCAAGTCGTAGCGCTCATGGACAAGCCTCGTGGGGGTTCGGGGGCA